AGACCTAGACCGTATCTCAATACAAAATAGGGGATGGTTTTCAACCGGGTAAAGGAGAAAAGTTGTAACACAAAATTGGGACAATTGAAGTTATGTGAATGGATTGTAACCATGTATGATAAATGTAATAAATAGTGCATATGTGATGGTGAATGCAAAAACACGAAGGGGCAATATGAGACACACAATATGCAATGTGATGAATACATAACAATAAGATGATGGATACACAACAGATAACTTCACAAAATGAATTTTTTTTTTTCAAAATTTTCTTTTTTCTCAATTGTTTTTGATTTTTTTTCCTGAACATTTTTTTTTGTTTGTTTTTTGTTGGAAATTTCTTTTTGAATTTTTTTTTTAAATTTATATACATACCATATACACATATACATATACAAATAATATACAAAATGTGTACTACGTACATACACACAGACAAAATATACACATACAAACCACATATAAATACGAATATATACATATATACATATATATACGGACACAGACATGCAGATATGGATACACAAACATATACATATGCAGACATACGGATACACAGACATGCATATATACACATATACACTCTCCCCTATTTTTGTCTCTTTTTCTCTACCTCGTTCGTATTTGTCGAGCGCCATGTCTGGCTCACGATTTTAACAATCATGGGGCGCCTAACCGATAGCAGCTAGACTGGCCTCAATTGTCAAAGATTGCCTCAGTAATCCTTCTTTCTTGGCTTCTTCTTCTCTTCCAACTTCTTCTTAAACCAAGGTCTACGAGAGAGACAAAGGAAAATACTACAAACTCCCCCCTGCCATTACTCTGCAAAATTTTCCTTTGGCATTATACTCCTCCTGACATGGCCTCTCCTCGTCATCCCCTCACTCTCTTCCCTGACCTTAACAATTTCCTAATCAAGATTACCAGTTCCTCTAAGCCTCGATAGAGTGCCCTTGTTCTAATTCTCAGCTTTCCTGCGTTGTTAGTCGAGCAACTAATGGCAGCGCAGCTTGATATCGATGTCAACCACTACACATGGAAGTCCTATTTGGAGACCATGACCGCAGCCTATAATTTGTCCCACCAGCTATGGGGTAGGACGAGTGAAATACATCGATTAAACACCCAACTCTCTCTGCTCCAGAGTATGTACAAAGATGCTTGAGCAAAGATTAGCAATTTGAAGAAACAAAACAAGGAGCCAAAATGACAAGCGACTTCTACAGCCCGATTCGGAGCTCCTTGGTGCTCCTCATTTGACGGCCGACGGGGAGTAATTTCTTTTAGAAGCTCTGCCAATACTGAGGCAGAGTCTTCAAAGGCCTCCCGAGAGTGAAGATGTGGCGAGACAATTGACAGTAAAGTCGAACGACAAAGTTGCATGCAATCGGTTATCTTTGTCGCCGGGCTACTACCGGAATCCTAGAAGAAGTCCCTCTTTTTTCTTTTTTTTTTTAGCTATGTTTTTAATTATTTTATTTTTTCTTGTTTCCCCTTAGGAAGGAGCGCATTTTCCCCTTTTTTTTTGTTTTTAGAATTTTCTTCTCTTTTTTCTATGTAGTGCTACAATCGCCTACGCGGAGGGGGGGGCTTCACCTTGAATTTCAATAAATGAGTTTTGTTTTGTTTGCACATCATGGCGTAAATGACACAGTACTTGAACATGAAATCATTTTGTTTAAACTTGAATCTAAGAATGATTTAAATGAGTTTTGAATTAGACATTGAGCCCTCAACAGACCAGAAATCAAAAAAATGGCTTAATAAAAACCAAAGCAAAAGCAATCCAAACACACCTATGTACACTTGCTGGAATGGAAAGAACACAAAACTTCATCGTGCACGTGATGATAAACGCAGCGGGTGCAACACTTGCGGGCGTCGTTTAGAATATCGGGGGGTGACACTCACGTGCACCATTTAGAATATCGGAGGCAAGATGTTGAAAAACAAGATCCAAAACAAAAAAACATTGCCGGCCAATTGAAAGGTTCTGTTACAAACATTACGCACTTTTCGGCGAGTGATTGACAAGGTATATGGAGACTTTTGAAAATACAAGAGAAAGATAGAAAATCTAACTTGGCTGTGCCCCTAGTTCATCGCTTTGACTATTTTTTTTGATTTTTTTCCAAAAAGGTTTTGATCAACATAAGAGTTAGATTAGTATGCATGCTCCACTCTCTATTTTGAAATCATGTAAGCCAAGCTGTGAGCACTGAACATTTTTCCTTTTTGGTCCAAATAATGTTCTGATTTTCCAAAAATGGAATAATTTTCAAGAAGATCAGTCAACTTCATTAAAAATCCTCAAAATCTATTTTTGCAAAGGGTCACTACCCGATTGACATGAAATCAACCCTTGAGATGCACAACCTCATATTAGATAACCCGAGCATGATATATTGTAGTACCACTAAATCTGTCTTTCAATTGAACACGTTATGAAGGAGGAATAGAACAATTAAATCAAACGGAGATGAACCAATCAAACATGGATAGGATAGCCGAGTTGAATACAGATACACCAATCAAATATGGACGGGATAAGCGAGTTGAAAATGGCTGGGGCCGAACTTCAACATAAAGTTGCCCATGTATCTCAAAGATAGGAATAAAGCTTTACGTAGTTCACGAGGGTAAGGGTCACTCAGGTATTAACACTTTGCTTTTTGTGCTCTAACTTTTGCCAAAACCACCCGTTTGGGTTTTCAACCTTGCAAACTTTCTTTCAATTTTTTCATTTTTCATTTTTCATTTTTTATTTTATGTTTTTTTGCTCTAACTTTTGCCTGGATCGCCCTTCTAGGTTTTCGGCCCAGCGAGCCTCTCAAGGATAGTACTTTTTTCAGCTTGTCCATGTTGATTGTGAGAATTTGAAACCATCAAAATCCATGAGAACAACTACTCTTCTTGACCAGATAGACTTGATTATGTAGGAACCCATCCAATTGGGTGTGAATTTGCTCCTAAGGTCATAGATAAAAGTTCGATTGTCCTTTAGCATAAAATATTTTTCTCTCAGATTCTGGGTTTTGACTTTCTTTTCGACCTCCATTAGCTTGAGAAATAACCCGGTTTGAATCTTTAATCACACCCAACTTTATTGTCCCCTAGTTCTAGGGTTGTTTCCAATTTGGCTATGCAAGCCTCATACTCTGGTTGATTATTGGACACTCAGAATCAAAGTTTGAAAGCTAGAGGGGTCAGGCCTCAAGTCGAGAGGGATTCTATGTTGTACAATCGTATGATCAATTCCAAACATGTCTTCGTAGGATCACGCAAAAATATGTTTTGAAATCTTTTAATAAAGCGACTAATCACTCTTGTTTTTCTAAAGACCATGTAGAACCAGTCTGGACCAAGCGAGGATCCTTTTCAGTACTCACACTAACAAAAATGATTTTATCTATCAAGGGCTAAGCACATCTGTCTTCCTCCTAATTGATCAAATTTTGCAAAGCCTAAGAAATTTTGAAGTTTTGAATTATTATTTTTTAAAAAAGTTTGGTCAATGCAATGAACTAAAGACACAGAGAAGTAGGTAGAATCTATGACACTTTCATAAAAAGAAACTCCGACTCAGTGATGACAATAAAGAAGACCTAAATAGGACAGAGATATCTAGGTTTGCACTCCTGAAATTAACAGATTCTAGCTGACTAGACTAACTTGAGTCTGACTCTGACTCCACAGACTCGATAGAATTAGACTCGGACTCAACATCCGATTCAGAACTTGAAATGAAACCTTTCTCGAATTGCCAGTTTAAGTGTGGGCCATCCACAACATTCAAAATAAAGCTCGTGCAAGTAACATGTGGTCATTCCCTGATCACAGAAACAGTCTCATATTCCACAAGTTCTAAGGATTCACGCTGGTAGACTTTGTAGGATATCAGATTTTTCTGAAACTATGGTGTTACAACTACATAGAAAACAGAAAAGCAAACAAAAAACAAGACCCCCAATCAAAATTCCAGCAGCACTTCGGCTCAGTTTACACAACTAATCACTGTCTGCCCCACCGAAAAATTAAACTCAACCAAACAAACTGATATGCCCGAAACACTGATTTGAATTTGAGAACCTCTATACAAATTGTTGTTCATAGCATATAGTAGGAAATAGAACAAACACCCCTATGGGGGGGGGGATAGGGTTACCTTGTCCTAGCTTTGAAATGATCTAGACCTTCACTATTCAAACAAGTGGTGTCATAAACCTAGAAACGGGAGAGTATTCTGTCCTAAGTTGGGAAGGTGCTATAGCTCACTATATATATAAGGTCAGCTCTACTCTGGGAGTTGAAGTAAAGATGATGTCACGAAAAAGCCCTTTGGTTAATGACCAGTTAAGATCCTAAGAAGTCGAAAGAATCAATATAACCTCTCTTCGAAGTACAGATGGCGTCACGAAAAAGCCCTTTGGTTCATTTTTTAGACAAAACTTTTGGTCTCACAAGGTAAGTAGTTCATCACTAAATGTCCAATTTTGTCTCTACAAAGTGATTTTGTCCCTAAATTTTTGTTACTAAAATCTTAATTTCTTATAGTTACATTGTCAAATTATATGTGGACTTCATAAATTTTTCACACATACAACAATATGTGTTTTTTTTTTTTTTACAACGAAAAGAGTAATTTTATTAATAAAAACTAATGTATAGAGAACACTGAAAAAATACACTAATAAAGAAAAGACAAGTGCACAATAGATCATAGAAAAGCTAATCAATCCTAATTAGGTTGGTATTGAAAAACAAACTCAATTAACTGCAAGCACAACATCGAGAGTTGGTGAGATGCCAACCGAAAAACAACCACAAGAAACAAAAACCAATGTAGCAACAACACATTCTCCGAATCCAACCAACTGCAACAGAGCAACTCAAAGATTCTCAAGCTTTAGTAAAATGTAGACATGAATCAAAATCTAGTAATAGGTTTTACCTCCCCCCCACCCTTAAAAAAAAAAATAGGTTTTACCTACCCAAAAAAAAAAAAAATCTACTAGCTCATGGTCTCAATTTTATTGGATAATTTAGATACCTTTTGACCGTTTGTTTTAAAACCAATTAAGATGTTCCCAATCCCACAAAGGCTCATTGCCAATATCCATATCCAAGTTATCACTTCTCACAGTTTTAGAAGGATTAGGATGATCTTCATCGGAGGAGGACTCTGGTGAGCCTATTCTCACCATGGTTGGACGGTTCTGATGAGATGTTGTTGCCTCAGTGCCATGGTGAGCTATAACTTGGTGAACCATTGCCTCTTGGCCTGTCACTGGCACTTCTGGAGATGGTCGTCTATCAAATGCACGCAAACTTTTTGATTTTTTGTACACTCTGCACAAACTAAACTCTGGTCTTAACTGCAAAAACATAATTAAGATCAAAAGAAATAAGGTAGAGAACTCTTGAAAGGAGTTGCAACAACCATGCGCTGTAATAACCATGTAATTGTTACTCCCTCCGTCCCAAAATATTGGTCCCTTTGGGGGAAACCAACTTTTTTTGGTAGTGCACTTATTGCATTTGAAAAAAGTTAGTTTTCCAAAGATGGTCGTCTATCAAATGCACGCAAACTTTTTGATTTTTTGTACACTCTGCACAAACTAAACTCTGGTCTTAACTGCAAAAACATAATTAAGATCAAAAGAAATAAGGTAGAGAACTCTTGAAAGGAGTTGCAACAACCATGCATTGTAATAACCATGTAATTGTTACTACATTTCTTAACCATTATTATTAATATTAGGTTTCAACATGTTGGTGTACTTGCTGATCAAAAACGCATGTTGGTGTACCTGACTAGATGCAAACGTAAGGCCTGTTGTAATATGATTTAAACCAAATGCAATGGTTGTAAACTAGTCAAGTATGAGATTGTTTAAATTAGGTTTGAAAATTTATTCACGTTTAAAATTGTGTTTAACTCTGATTTATTTGTTTCTAAGCCAACATCAAATGAATTTTATTCAAATCGAGCTTGAGATTAATTTATATATAATAATAATAATAATTTATAGTGCATATAGGTTTATTAAGGCAAGTTCAAATCAAGCTTAAAAAATTAACAAGATTTAAAATATATTTAAATTTATCTTATTTACATAAGGAATCAATCTTAAACGAGTTTTTAATAGATTAAATTTGAGTAGCTTGGTTTATTTTACCAATCTTAGAACTATAAATAAAATCCTATGTATGCTAAACATGCAGGCTTTCTTTTCTATCAAAATTACGATAACCTAGTTTTAAAACTTCAACTATAAGGTCACAATGATATAGTTTTAAACAGTTCATATGCTAACGAGTTTGCCTCATTTTGCAATCTTAGAACTACATAAACTCCTATGTTCTTTTCTATCAAAATTACCTTAACCAGGCTTTAAAACTTCAACTATAAGCTCACAATGGTATAGTTTTCAAAATTTACATATTTAAGTTTAGTTTATTTACATAATGAATCAATTTCGAATGAGTTTTTAATTAATCAAATTCAATTAGCTTAAGTCCGCTTTAGAGTCTTAAAACTAGATAAACTTCTATGATCTTTTCTATGAAAATTACCATAAACTAGTTTTAAAACTTCAACTATGAAGTCACAATAGTATAGCTTTTAAAATTGTATCTTTAAGTTTGGCTTATTTAAGCAAAATCTCAAACAAATTTTAATGAATCAAATTTGAGTAGCTTGATTCATTTAACAATCTTAAAACCAGATAAACTCCTATGTTCTTTTCTATCGAAAGTACCATAAACTAGTTTTAAAACTTCAACTGTAAGGTCACAAGGTTTTCAAAAAAAAAAAATTGTGCTTAAGCTTATTTGTTTTCATAAAGTAGATTTTAAACAAGTTTTTAAAGAATTAAATTTAGGTAGCTTAATTAGTTTTACAATCTTAGAATCAAATAAACTCCCCTATGCTCATTTCTATCAAAATTACTTCAAACTAGTTTTAAAATTTCAACTATGAGGTCATGGTATAATTTTCAAAATTCTTGTGTTTACGTGTAGTTTGTTTACATAACGAACTGATCTTGAATATGTTTTTAATGAATCAAATTCAAGTAAGTTTGTAAAACAAACCAACGCAATTGAACTCTAGATGAACTCCTACATTATTTTCTATGAAAATTACGGTAAACTAGTTTTAAAACTTCAACTATACGGACACAATGGTGTAGTTTTCAAAATTCGTGTATTCAAGTTTAATTTGCTTACTTAAAAAGCTCATTTCGCACTAGTTTTAATGAATAAAATCGAATAGGTCACAATTGTATAATTCAAAATTTTTGTGTTTAAACTAAATTTATAGATATAAAGGGTCCGTTTGGTTTAGTTTTTGAAATAAGTTTTGAGTTTTGAATTATATTTTGAAAGATAAGTTGTTAAAAAGAGTTTTGAAAGTTGAAAATTTATTTGGTTTTGAGTTTTCAAAATAGTTTTGGGATGATATGTAATTTTTTTTTTTTATTTTAGCTGAATTGATGTTTGTGAGAAAATTTAATTGATTGATATGTAGAATGTGAAAGAATAAGAGAGGAGAGAGGAGAGAGGAGAGAGAAAAAGTGATTGATTAATTTATTAATAATAAAAAATAAAAATAAAAAAAGGAAAAAGGAGAGAGAAAATTGTGTTTTGGGTTGTCTTTTAAAAGTTTGTTAATCAAACAATTTTTTTTTTTTGTTTTTTGACCCAAATCATGTTTTGAAAACTAAACCAAACAGTACCAAAGTTGTTTTCGAACGAATTTTTAGCGAATTAAACTCAAATAGCTTAATTAATTTTACTGTTTTAGAATCAAATAAACTCCCCTATGTTCATTTCTATCAAAATTATCCTAATCTAGTTTTACAAGGTCAACTATAAAGTCGCAATATATAATTTTCAAAATCTTTGTGTTTTAAGTTTGGTTCGTTAGCATAATGAGCTGATCTCGGAATGAATTTTTAATGAATCAAAATTCAAGTAGGTTGAACCAACGTAGATGAAATCCTATGTTATTTTCTATCAAAATTTCTTTAAACTAGTTTTATTACGTCATATGGACACAATGGTATCGTTTTCAAAATTCATGTGCTTAAATTTGATTTGTTTACCTAAGGGACTCTTCTTGTATGAGTTTTTAATGAATCAAATTCGAATATGTTGGTTCATTTTAAAACTTTAACTAAAAGGTTACAGTGGTATATTTTTCAAAATTCTCCCCATCTATTAACCTGGATCCCAGAGCAAGGCTACAAGCGTATGAACTGGGTACTGACCTAGGAATGCAGACTTGAAACCCTAGAATTAGCCATAGTTTGTTTGTTATGAAAATTAGTAAATAAAGTTCAAAGCAAGAGCTCTTATATATCACATTCAAATCACACCTTCGGAATTGCACTGCTTGATGATGCTTCTCCTTCAATGGCCCTGTACTCATTCATCTTCCATTCCGTTTTTCTTCCTGTGGGAGCTCTTCCTCTGTAGAAAACCATGGTTTTCTTCATTCCAATAACTCGGTTACGAGAAGAGTAAACATAACCAGGAGAGCCAATAGCTTTCCAATATCCAGAAGTAGTGAGTCGATTTGGTCTTCCTCCACGAGCCTCTTTCTCTTGTCTAGGAATAAAAAAAAACCATTGCTCAGGGTCTCTGCGACACCGCTCTCCTGCGAATTCTGGTTCCAAATTCAACAATTTAGCAAAGACCAAACCTTAGCTTAATTAACATTAATTACATACTAGGGTTGTAATCTTAATTTTCTCAACAATTTAATTTCCAGACTTGTGCTTGACTTTTTAATGTTGAGAAATGAAATAAACGAAAATCAAAACTCAGGATCTTTAACCTAAGGGTAATGCTACGTATCATGAAATAAATATCATGAAAAACTTCATGAAACTAATCCAATGGTGAATGCATAACATACAATAAAACACTACAAACACTATAATCTAATCCAAGGGTGGAGAATCTTCATGAAAACTTTTCATGATATTATTTTCATGATACCTAGCATTATTGTAAACGTAATTGGGTAAAGGTTGGATACTCTTAATTTTTCATTATATATATATATATATATATATGGATGTGTAAACTTGCTTGTAAGGATTGAATTACTATTTTCTTTATCTTCTTGACATCTTGATGAGACACCAATACATAAATCTTTAAAAAAATATATAATAAATAAATAAAAAGATGTTCATGCTATGAATATAGATAATGGATGAAACAAACTTATCTATCTTAAATGTAGTCAAGAAATTGATCGAAATGAAGCAATTTAATAATTTGATGTAACCCAAAAAAGAAAGTGAAAACCAAGTTTAAAGAACAAGCTGAATTGAAACAAACCAATCTTTCAAGTAGTCAAGAAACTAAACTAGAAGGATCCAAGTGAAGATGGTGTAAATTTATTAAATGTACAATAAATAATAAATAAAAAATATAAAAAATTTGAAAAGCAAAGATTAAAATGAGCTGCCCGTGCCACAACACAACAACACATTACAGAAAGTAAGGCAAGTAATTTAAGATTGTAATGACTTCAATCAAGACCATAATGATCATACATCCATTAGGAGAAAAGGTGAAAGACAAATGACAGTTGAAAATTGAGAAACTATCAGAAAACCCATCTTAGAAACTTCGATTAAAAAAAAAAAGAAGAAGAAGAGAAATGGTGGAGAGAGAAAGATGAGATGAGGGTACAAACGTGGGAGATCCCAAGGGTTGTAGTGATATATGTAGAGCACTGGTATGACCCGATCAAGGTCTTGTCTTCCTTGAAGCTTGTTTTGCAGATAGAACGAAACCAACTCTTCCTCAGTTGGGTAGAACCTAAAACCTGGCGCCATATCCTCCATTGCTCCTCCTCCTCCTGCACTGTTTTCTTTAATTAATCTCTCTCATATGATATAAATATATAATTCTTAAAGCTTGTTTTTTGATTTTACGTATGCTTTGGGTATTTAAAGGGGAGGAGGGGCTAGGGTTAGGCATAGAGAGAGAGAGAGAGAGAGAGAGAGAGAGAGAGAGAGAGAGAAATGAGAAAAATGTTTTGGGACCACACGCTCAGGTTGCTTGGAAACTCCCCTCTGCTGTGTGGAAGGAAATCGTTGTCCAACGCTTGTAACCCAACGTTGAAACTGTACTTGACTTTTTGTGGAATCAGTCTCTCTCTCTTCGCCACTGGCTGCATCAAAATTAACTTTTTATTTTTTTATAATCTTTTTCTATTTCACATATGGAATGATTCCATTTTTTTGTTTTAAATTTAATTGTTGTGTTTCTTTAACGGTTTTTTTTATTTATTTTTTATATCAACAAAAAAACTTTTTTTTTTTCTTTAAGGGTGTTTTTTTAACGGTTATTCATCAAGTTGATGAAGATTTTCGTTTCAGACATGAAATGAACATAATTTCAATTTTGTTCAACGGTAGTTTAGGTTAAGGGTGTGTAAAAAAACATCATAACCTTTGCTGTTTGCTGTTTGAGAAAGTGACGCGGTTGAATTGAATGATAAACCCGCCGACAAAACATCCAATCCACCTCTATCTATATGTATAGTGTCTCTTTCGCAGAGATTATAATCAGCTTATTTCAGTTTTTAATTTAATTTAAGTTATTTTGATGTGTTTGGTTTAACTTATAACTTATAATTTTTTGAAAGTCAGAAATCAACTTATTCTTTGAGTGGGGCAGGAGATGTTTTAAGAATAAGTCAGAAATCAGCTTATGTTCATAGTTATAAGCTATAAGCTGTTTAAACAGAAGTTATAAGTACTTTCCCACAGCTCTACCAAATAGAGCCATAGAAATTAACTTACACTTGTTTACATAAGCGCAAAATTGATTAAAATAATTAAAAAGTTAAAAAACTAATATTAAAAGTTAACTTCTTTTTTTTTTTATTGTTATATATATATTTTTTTGTAAAAAAGTGAGAAAGTTATTAAAAAATTAATTTACAAATGAGCCCACAATCTTTTTCTAAGGCTTGGTTTGGGAACTTTAAAAAAAAGTCAAAAATTTATTAAAAAAATTAAAAAATTATCATTATTCATCAAAAAAATAAAAAAAAAAATCGATATACATAATATTAAAACACAAATCAATTTCACGCCACTCTAGGTACTGACATCAAAGCAAAGGCAGTGAAAGGGGAAAAAAATTACATGTGTATATTCACTAAGTTGGATGGTAAAGTTAGGTCCGTAGGGGCCCACCATAGGTCCCATTTTGATAATCTGAACCGTTCAATATGTAGAACTCGTTTAGTACTATATGCCTGTAAGCAATCATGTCTATCAAATATCGCTAACTATATGATCAAATTAGATTTGTATACAAAATGAATGGTGTTATAATTAATAGTTTACAAAAAAAAAAAAACTAATACAATCAGATAGCTATTGATATGTAATCAACGTGATTTTTTACAAACATATAGTAGTTGACGAGTTTTACACATTGAACGGTTCCGATTAGAAAAACGAGACTCATGGTGGGACCTGTGTTGGGCCCCTACGAGCCGAACAACACCGTCCAATTAAAATCCGCAAAGGAAGCAATCTTTTTCCATCTCCTACCCAGCTGACTGCACTGCCCAACCCGCACGACCTACTTCACTATTTTCTCCTAAACACTTATTTATATAATTTTTTAATACACATTTTTCATAAAAACTCAAAAAATTAACCTAAACATCCATATTTTTTTTCTCAACTTTTTTATCAGAAAAACAAAAAGTGCACTTATTTATGACACTCCAAACAACCCCTAACTCTAATACTATTAGTCATGACACCTATTCTTTATTTTTGTCACATATTTTCTTCATAATTTTTTTTTTTTTTAAGCAAAGTAAAAAATTCATTGAAAATATGGAATTAAAGGTACAAGAAAGCAGAATACATTGGCACTGTTTGGTAAGACTTATTTCCAGCTTATTTTAGCTTTTAGCTTAATTTAAGCTATTGGGAAAGTGAAAAATATGATTTTCAATAACATCACTAATTTGATTTCATTGTATATTAATTTGTGAAATATGATTTTGAATAACATCATTAAATTTTTTTTTTCCCTATTTAGTAATTCTAACCCACTTAATTCATTTAAATTTTTAGTTTGAAGCCGTCAAAATATTTAACTAACCCACCAGTTTTGAGGTTGTTTAGGTTGAAGGATGAAAATTTATGCATTTGCTAAAGATAATTCACTTGATGATTTTTTTCATAAACAAATTCAAATCAACGGGCGCAACCTAGTTTAGGGTATTAACATTCTAAACTTATATCACCCATATTTTCTGACTATATAAAACTCAATTTTTTTATTGTCCAAAAAGATGAGTTTTATTGATGAAGTTCAATGAACAGAACAAACATTGAATAAAACACATTAATACAGCTGGGGTCAGTATTCAATGCATCTTAGCAAAACATTTCAATCCCAACAAATAATGCTAATTTTAATGGACACTTAGGCAATGAATCCATTCCTTAATCTTTTGTGTCATTAGGCCTAAACTATAACCTCTTTGGCTAAAATGATACAATTTGTCTAAAAGTACAACTATTTGTTAAAATCATCCTATCCTGTCTATTTCTTGAAATCACTCAATTTGTCCATCTGCTAAAATTCACCAAGTCTATTTTTCTATCTATTAAAATTCATCAAACTATCTATCTGTTAAAATGTAACATATGTCCCTCATTTACCACCCCATTTGTTGAATATTACACATTTTTCCACCTCACTACAACCACTTGCTGCTGGTCAACGCCACCGGCCGCCGGCGAATTTTTTGGCATATCTTTATTACCAAATAAAATTTTACCTTGAATTTAATGTTTTGTACCATCTTTAAATTGGACTTTTTACCAATTTTTCCTAATTTTCTCAATAGGTTTGGCCCAAGAAATCACTTAATATTAGTATAATTATTATGATTTGACAAATTTAATTTTTTTTTATCAACAGACAAAGGAAAAATATTTTATTAGTATCAATAAAACATTACAGAAAAAAGGAGGAAGAAGCATAATAAAGCAGCATGCTCTCCAAAAATGAAAGCTCGTTGGCTAGATGCCAAAACTCAGGACTAGCTCCATGACCAACAACAGAACCCCATCCTTAATGTGTGTTCAGGTACATGTTAAAAAGTTAACCCTTTATAAAAAGGATAAATTACACTCTACCCTCTTTATTTATATATATATATATATATTTAACTTTTGATCTTTCATATGTTAAGTTTTTTTCAACTTACTTTAAAACTAATTTAGATTCATTAGACAAAAAATTGGCACAATAACTGTTGCATAATATAAAAATATTTTTTTTTTTTTTTAATCAGTAAAATGAAACTTTATTGATGAAGAAAGCATTATATGCAAAAGCATGTTTTATTATATCTAATTCACACCTCTGACACAAACTCAAACTTAATATAATAATATTTTTTGAGTACTGCTATTCAGACTCAAAAATTAGACTTACTTTTTATATCTTGTGGTATGTCAAAAAGATGATTGGTTGATAATTAAATATTTTTTAATTATCAGCCAATCATCTTCACACATCACTAGGTCTAGAAAGTGGGTTTAAAAAGTAGATTTGTATATCATTTTTTTATATTTTTATGTCATGTGAGAGTTATCGTGGCATATTTTGTCTAATTTTAAATAAAAATTAGCTTTAATAGTAAACTGAAAAAACTCGAAACATGAAGAATCAAGGTGAGAAAAAATAAATTTTAAAAGTTAAAGTGAAAAAAAGTAACCAAACAAAAGGCCAAAGTGTAATTTATCCTTATCAAAATTATATTTTATGAAATGAAAGCAAGTATTATATAAAATATATATATATATATATATAATATTTTAAAGGGTAAATTACACTTTAACTCCACGTGATTTACCCCAAAGATATGGAGCCGCCTATAATTTCATTCGTAACAATTAAACCACTTGAACTTCATACCAAAGTACAATTTCGGACAGAACCGTTTGTTTCAATAGAGTGTGTGTTGCACGACCATAAAACCAAAATTTTTCCTCCTCAACCACACTGGATAATTCATTACCCTCTTCTTCTTTCCAAGATTTTGAAAACCAAAGACGTTGATTCTCTTTCTAAATGCTTCCCTCTCTTTCTACCTTATCTTAATCATTTCTCCATCTTTCCTTTTCATTTTTGTTTCATTATTTTTCTAAAATCTATGTCTATTATTCTCTTAACTCAAATAAAATTAACCCAGAAATTAAAATCTATGTTTATCATTCTCTACCATGCAACCACCAGCATCCTTCATCTTCTCTTTATCACTATAGACACACATACATTATATACATAGGCATACCCAATAACCTAAGTCAAGATCCAAATTGTAGTGGTGGCTACCACTATGGGTGTCGTAAGAGGAGAAAGTGATGGGTGTTGGTCAAGTGGAGAAGATATGATGAACTTGGTAGGTGTTTGCAACTATGGATTATTTGTTTAGGTCTGTCGAAAAAATAAGAACTAGTACACAGTGGAAATAAATGGATTCGGACATACTCTTTAAACTCAAACCGAATCCATAGATCATGTGGGTAAATCACGTGCCTCCAATGATGTCTTTGAATAATTCCCAGCAGTGGAGTAAAACTACTAAAGAACTACCCACACGATTCACAATACAAAGGCTAATCTGTGTTTCTATGAAGAGAGAAAGAATAGAGAGTCTAGGGGACAGAGAGAATAAATTAGGAATAACACTTGTTGAAACTTGAGAAAAGTTTACAAGTTGAAGTTAAACCGAAATGATGTTTAACACTTGTTGAACCTTGAGAAAAGTTTATAAGTTGAAGTTAAACTAGGGTCATGATTAAAGAAAGGAATGATATAGGTTCCATCACCTCA